TCTTGCTTAAGTAGGTCCCTGTCCCCCTCCACTTCCTTCATGGCCTTCCTCATGTTCTGAATGATATCTGCTTGGCTTTGAAGAATGCACCTTTGCTCCTTGGCAAGCTTCATCTTTTCCATACTTATCTCAATCTTTGCTTGATCCTCAAGTTGTTTCTTCTTTGCATTTAGATCATTGATTGCCTGACTGGTATAGTCCATGTCATGAGACATCTTGCCATCTTGATAGTCAAAAGCTTGGATACATCTTCCACCAACTGGCTATAGTTGTTTGACAGGAAATCAATTTCCTTCTGTAGCTTGGCCACCTCTTTCTCATGGGCTTGTTTGTCCTTCACCCTCCCCAAGTTCTGCTCATGGTACATGTCCCAAATCCTTGTTAGGCACCTTTGTAGAATCTCTGGCCAAGGACCATCCACCCACTCCACAACCCCACAGTTCACACCTACATCCTAGAGAAGCAATTATTTATAATTAAGCACAAATCACTTAGTAACAAACTTAGTACAGATAACCAAAGTTCACACCTACATCAATATGCTCTCTGAATTATGCAAACATAATTCTTTCATAGTAAGCACACAACACCTGACTTAGCATCAGAGATAAATTCAGTTAACAACTATATTAAGCAGTAAATATAAATTCATTTAACTCTGTTCTTTTTGAGTTAACAGCTATATTCAGTAAACACCTAACTAATACATTCAGTTCACAGTACACTAAAGATCTCTGCATGTAGGTGTTCTCAGGTTCAGTCATGTATTGAATTCAGTTAACTAAAGATCTACTTTCACATATAGCTTCCATATGTATGGCACTTTCAAGTTTCAGTTCTAAACTACAACACACATTTCTGCACATCACACATCTCTGCACCACATGCACCACACATCTCCAGCAGCAAAACACATCACACATCTCCACCAGCAAAACAAGTTAGCATTCAAGATTTAATACCTACTGCACAGGACAACCCAGGAATCGCCTCCCAGTCAAAGCACCTTCAAAAGCCACCATCTTCTTCGGCCTCTGATGATGCATCATGCACGTCGGCTCAGATTCAGTGTAAGAACCACAGAAAAATGATTCCACCACACTGTTAGGGGTTTTCTACAAAAGAAACTTCGAATCAAACCAAAAGCAACTTGGAATCTCCAACTTCGATGAACTAACCCTAACCCTAACTCTGTTCCACCATTATGCACTTACAAAGAGCTGAGGATCCATTGAAACCATGTTGATGTCCTCGTCCTAGCTCTCCTCGTCATTCCAGGATGGCATCCTCAACTTCTACCGGCAGCAATGGCCGCGGCGGCAACGACGATAGGCTGACCTAGCTCAGAGCACCAGGGATAAGGGAGAGGATGAGGATGAGTGAGAGCGAGCGAGGAGGAAGAGAATGAGCGAGTGGCTGAGCTCGCTCGCTCTCACTTATTGGCCGACCGACAGCCGACAGCGGACGGGCCGTTAACGACCGTCAACGCGCGCCAGCCGTCCGTTAGCCAGCGTGGCAACTGTTCGCGGGCCCAAACGGTCAGGATCGGGGTTAACGCGGGCGAAGCGAGCGCTTTCGCGAGTTGGTTGTTTTTTGCCACGGTTTAGCAAAAATTTGGTAGTTTTTCGCACAAAATCATAGAGTGGTAGTTTTTCGTCACGTTTCCGGCAAATGTGGTAGTTTTTGATTAAATACTCAGTGTAGTAGGATGCGGGCAAGAAGGCCAAGAGGAACGGCATCAGCGTCGAAAGGGACGAACATGAGGGCTGTGAGACAAAGAATAGAGGAGAAGAAATAAGGTGTGTGCGATGCAGTAGGATCGTCGTAATGAATGTCATGTGGAACTACGTGATGAAGCTATCGGTCAAAGAAAATTTTAAACAGCCGACCGTACGCGATGAATTTGACAAAATTCATTCAAAATAGTTTAAAACATAAACACAAAATTAAGTATTTACGGTCGATAGCTTGGGTCTCAGGACATTCATGCTGAGCACCATGCTCGCTGACGATGGCAAAGACGATAGCGGTGCACTGCTTCTTTTTTTCAAATACGCACGAGTGTGCGCATCATTCATTAATAGAGGAAAGGGAAGAGATTCCCAGAGTCCAGAAAGTTACAATAGCAATGCACTGCTTCTTTTTTTCTTGAATATGCATAAATATGCGCATCATTCATTAATAGAGGACAAGGAAGAGATTCCCAGAGAATTCAGAAAGTTACAATAGCAGCGCATCCACACATCGAATGGACCGAAGCATATAACGACTACTCCCGAATTACTCACCGCGACAAGCCCGCAAGACTCCACACCTGGGCTCCATTGCACGCCACCCCAGCCGTAGGCTTTACTGTGGCCCAATTGGGCCTAAGTCGTCTAGCTGTCTTTTTTTGCCCAACGTCTAGCTGCTTGTTGCCCCGGCACAAAACCAACGGCTATGGACCAAGGGGCTGAAAGAAACTCGCAAGTCAAACTGTGTATTGTGGTACTTATATACTTCTTTTTTTCTGGTTTATAGGGCTTAATTTAAAAATCTCATCAACCAAGGTAGATGATGAGTGATGGAATACTCTTTGTAGTTTAAAAAAGCACCCAATTAATGCTTTTGTTTTTCTTAAAAAATTACATTTACCAATGCATTAATTGCAGTGCATGCATGCATGCATAAAGTACATGCATTGGTCAATTTTTCTCTTAATAATCACATGCAATGATTTAATGCACTTGAAATATGAATTTGTGATGGAAAACAACCAAATTAAGTCTTATACAATAAAAAAACTAAAATTTCAAGATAAGCACAATAAACCGTAAAGGAGGAAGTAATCGTATAGTCTTGCCTAAAAGAAACTCTTATTGTCTTGTCTCAAGAAAAAAGGTACTCCTATTGTCTTTAGGAGACATGCACCGATGTACACCTACATGCAAGCTTTTCAGTCAATCTTGGTTCTTGTCTCAAGGGATTAAATTATTATTTTTCCTGAAAATCCTTTCACCTTCTAGTGTTAACTTTACCAATCGATGTGATGTGGCGGCAAGGTAGTACTACTAGTATTTCGGAACACCGCTGGATTATTGATGGATCGTGATGGAGTGCACGGGGATCGTATGCAACCCTACTTGCCTGTCTGATTTTCAGTGGTCACGTACGGCCGACACGGCAGGTCGCGACACGTCCTGCGCCCCCATTCAGCAATTCTTCGCCCGATGGAGGAACAACATCTGGGAACAAAAAAAAACATCTGGGAACGTGATTCGACGGATCGATCGACCGGTTGCTTCGCCCGCGCGCGCACGAAAGCGGCGCCCACACAGCCAGCCAAAGTGGCTTCTAGTAGCACGGACGCGACCTGGACCGCGACTGGGCGGAGCAGGGAATGCCAGTGCACTACCCCACACCACCACCAGTACCACCACGGCGTGCGGCCGCGAAGTTCGACGACGCACGCTGTGGTAGCGGCCGCGCGCGTTGGCGACGCGTGCAAACAACCGGTCGACTGGAGACGACGACCCCGACATTCCCACCGGATGAGAAGTGTAAAGATATATACTGCGTGGGGGCGTCCGCGCACTGCACGCAAGCAACGATGGGAGGCAGGCCGTGTCGAGAGGACGGCGAGTCGTCCTCGTCGTGGGCGGCCACGACGCACCCTGCGCCTTCCGGCCAGCACCACCGGGAGGTCTTCTTGACGTGCAGCACGATCCGACACCTCGATCAATCAACCGTCCCACACAAGTGCAACATTGACCTCGACCTCGAGGAGAGTGCGTACGCGTGCACGGCCGAGAGGCAGGTCGCGAACGAATCTGGGTCGCGAAAGTAGTGGCCAGCCTTTCCAAACTGTACGTTCGTACAAGGTGGGCATACATCACAGCTCAGGGAGTCAGTCATCGTATCTTGTTTTACCATTTTTTTAACACATAACAAACCGAGACACTCATACATACGTAGATACATTAATCCCTATACAAACGCATGTACGCACACCCTATCCATATGAACATCTCCGAGAGACAGAGTCGGCACATCATTTTGAGATTGACGAAGTCATTGCAGACGTCTCTGTAGTCGACGGGAACATCTCCACCCACCGAGAGCACATTGCCGGAAGGCCTGAAATAAAATCCAGAAAAATGCGAGCAATAATATCAAGTCTGGGACTTAAAATCTGATTGGCGGGAGGGATACCAATGTCCTTTTAACCATCCAACCACAGGTTGATTTGCATCATCATATCTTGTTAGGCAGAGGAGTTGCGTGATCCGGCAATAAGCTCGTTTTCATTTATTTGTTATTAGATATGTAAAATTATAAGTTCAAACACGATTGAAGCTATGAGGTATGAAAAGGCAAAGGCATCAATGAATAGTGCGCACCAGTTAGCATCACTATTCATCACTTAATTTGTTTTTAATGCACTCTAGGTAAATGAATTCATGTTTGATCTTGAAATTTCTCATTGATGAACAGTAAACGTCACTGTTCTTTGTCGGCCGAATGGAAAAGTTTCGTCGTCGATTTGCACACAATTACAGCTTATAAAATAAGTGAAAAAGGTACTCGTGAAACCCAAGTGAACATCAAGTTCGTGCAAATTAGTTTCTTTTTCATGGAAGTTCATACAAATTACCTTTTTTTACAGGGAAGTTCATACAACTTAGTTACTTGGAAATTAGTAGCAATGTGTGTATCTTCTTGAAGATAAAGTGGAGACTCGGATGGGATAAGGAGTCAGTTGTTTGGCGAGACGTAAATAAGCAAGGAATAACAACAAAATGTCAAAATTAAAACAAATGTGAATGTTTTTTCCCCAATTTGCAAGCAGTTTCTATACATTTACAATCAGGCTCCCAGCCTCATTCCAGGAAGCATGAAACCAGAAACAAATGAAACCAAACGACCACAACAATAATTTTGGGAACGGAACTCACAAGCACACCCCAATCTACAGATAATTGCACAGAACCACAAATGAGTGGGCATCGGAGGACATTTCATCATTTCTTCTTGGCAAATTCCTTAGCTTCCTTCTTTTCTCGCTCCAACTTCTCAAACACGCTGCCATCATAGACCGCCTTGACAGTCTCCTTGTGAAGAAATCCCTCCTTGTCTTTGCACAACGCGTAGAGAAGTCTCCACTCTACGAAAGCGCCCACCCTGCCATTTTTTTTGTGTGGATGTGCCAAAAACATGAGCTAAAAAAGAACGTGATAGTTGCATTTTACATTATTCATACGTTAGATGAAGTAACCTTACCGTCCAGCGAAATCTTTAGGATCCCTGTTTGCTTTAAGCATCTCCCCAAGCTCTTTGTCCGTTAGGGCATCAGGCCTAGTGTGGGCATGCTTCTTGAATATCTCCTCAAACTTTTCAGGAACAAACCTGCAATTTTGACAAACTGAAAAGTTAGCAAGTATGCACCCATGGTAGTCATTCTAATTAAGTGCTTGTTTGGATAGTGATACTTAGCCATGCGTTTATCAAAAACTTGTTTATAGCAGATTTTTAGTAAAATCGGTTTTGCTAGTTTTTCTATGAATAATCAGTTTATGTAGAATCACGTTTGGTGTCAAAAAGGCTAAAAGCTGGCCTATCTAATTTCTTGTTTGGATAACCATCGCTCCCGTGAGTATAGGTAGGAGCGGGCCGTGAGAAACGAGCGCATCATGAGAAGTTCAGTTACGATCCAGTATATGTGAAACGTGTTTTTGGAAAAACCACTAGTAGTCGTTTTTCCATAACCATGAAATTCTGGGTTTCCTAGAAACACGTTCTTTATATCCACGGATTAGTTAGAGTACCCAAACAAGATTTTTTTCTTCTGTTGGACGGTTTTCCTAGTTTGTAGAGATTGCATTCTATATATTCTATCTACCCAAACAACCCCTAAGAAAGCCAATGATCTAGAACTGCATCACTGTATTCCTTCTAATACAAACTAGCATTGGGAAGTGCAACTTGGCAGCAGTAGGAGTTCTCTAGCATCATACAAGAGCAATCTATTATGCCACTGGCCCATGTTGGCAACCATACCTTTCACCTGCCATTTTGTTATCCCTCAAAAAAAAACTGCTATTTTGTTTCTCTTAGGCTTTAGGGAGTTGCGCCTAACATCGAAGCCCCAAGGGGTGGACCTTATATTTAGAAGCTTCTATAAAGTTTTGAAGATACACGTAGATGTTGCCTATATACTTGTAATACCTCGTTCGTAGTTATATGCATTTGTGTGCTATAGGGAAAAAAGACGGTGACCTATAATAGCAAAAGTATACCGTTATAGATTCACGCACACTTGTTGTTTTTATTGCACTATGTAAAAAACGGATTTGCTTTAGACCAATTACTCGACTATTTACTTGTATGGAATCAATTGATTGTTGTAGTTTGCTCTCCAATTGCACATTTGAACTATTTACTTGTATGTCTGAGTATATTTTTCATATCTGACTTGAAAGTCAGTCGATTCCTTTTAATTTTCCATGCAGTTGGCCCTTTTAGAAATGTGCAACTATCCTTCCTTTCATATCTTACCAGTTACCAGTAATAAGTAGATTCTCCCGAAGATCATGTGCATGGGGTAGCAATAAGTAGCATGCATGATGTGCCCGCCCTAGGGGCGATGGGCACATGGTACTAGTACTGTATGAGATAAGTACTGTAGTACAGTATCTATAAGTACCTGCCCTGGGTGTCGTAGACGTCTGTATCACTCCCATGCTTGCCCTGCTGAATGGTCTTCACGTAGATGGGGAACTTGAAAGCTGGGGGCTTCACGTTCGCCTGCAGCAACACAACGAGAATCGATAACATAAATTAATCTCGGCTCGATCAGCGCCTCTTTACGCCAGAATTACTAATAATGAAAGCCCATTTCGTGCCACGTCAAGAGAGATCTTTGTTCAGTTTTGACGATTCCAGCTGCTTTACAGTGATGTAGAGTAGTAATAGTATGCCTTGTTTCGATCTCGCTTTCTTTTCACGGCTGGCATCTGCTTTGCCGCCGAAAGAATGCAACTAGACCAATGGGCAGGGACTACCAAGCCATCGACGACAGTGGAGCGCTATAGTAGCAGTATAACTAACAGTCTACGTACCGGTACCGTCTTGGACGAGAGGAAGACGTTGATGAAGACGGTGCCGGCGGCGGACAGCACGACGCCGCAGCCGATGGCGCGCAGCCCTTGGTAGGTCTCGGAGGGGTAGATGATGCCGTCCCTGTTCCGGTCGAAGAAGGCGGCGTGCTTCTGCAGCGGCGTCAGCTCGTGGCCGCCGTACACGTCCGCCATGGAGGGCTCCTCCGCCTGCTGCTGCTGTTGGCCCCCTGCGGCGTCCGCGGGTCTGGAGCCCATGGATGGATGGATGGATGGTTTCGGCCGGCTGGCGATCGAGGGGCGGGAAAGTGGGAGGTGAAGATCAGCTGGATATGTCGGTGATGATGATGCCAAGGTGGCGCGGGGAGAGGAAAGCGGGAGTGGCTTGCGCTGGTGTGGTTGTACGCTGGGAGTTCGTGGGGTTTATGTAGCGCTCCGTCCATGGTGCCGTGCGCGCGGGCACCAGCCAGCCATGCATGCGATGCGATCACTTCATTTAATTTCTCCAGGATCTCGTTTCCTTCCTTTGACTTCGCACCGCCCCACCGCTGGTTTCTTTATACGGAAGCTTGTCGACGTTGCGCGGCCACGTACGCAGAGCGTGTAGTGTATATTTAATTCTTTTCAAAAAAAGATTCAAATATATTACTACAAAAGTTCAACCAGGAAGGAGTACAACGCATCTCAAACATAATAAAAATTATATCAAAGTCTCTAGACCACCGAACGACCATTACCGTTTACGGGAATGTGTCGCCGACGTGCCACTATCGCTGCACTCATATCAAAGCGGGATTGATTTGTCGATGATAAACGAAAAGTCTTCGTGTGTGTGCCCTAAGGACCAGCGACCTAGAGTTGCAGTCGTTTCGTCAAAGTGTCGCACGCGTGAGGATTAAATAACCCTAACCTAAACTACTTGCCGAAGCAAAGACACTGAAATTCCCCTCCCCGCCACTTCGGAGGGGCATGCAAAAGGAGGCGAATTCACTGGCTAGAGGGAAGAGTGTGCCCTTGCCAACGAGGGGATTCGTGGACCTATTTAATTGAAAAAATTCTCAAACCATAGGAATAGACAAAAAGAAGAACAAAAGATTAGAGTGTGAACCCTATAGAATAACAAAACCATAAGAATTTTACAGGAAAGAGAGTATTTTTCACGAATAACGTCAAAGAGTGATTTGACATCATGGAAAAACAAATGAATTGTAACTATATCTTTTGTTGGACGGGAATGTCCCTTCAAAATGTAGTGTGATGCAATCCTTAGAAGAATTTCCTAAGCATTTCAATCCTACAAATCCAATGATGTACAAAGAAAAGATGCCAAAAGATCGAAATACTCCAAAAAATCCTATGATTTTTTGAATCAAAGGGTCCTTAAAATGGAGTGAACGGTTTGTTGTAGAGCCAAGTGCCCAATTGGTATCTTCTCTTCATTGACAATAGTTGTTGTTCTAGTGCGTGTTGTGTGTGCAATGTGATATTTTCATTCTACGCAAACATGTTTATGACCCACCGTATACACGCCCAAGCAAGCTACCTAGCCGGCGGTTAGTTAGAGGTACATGTGAGGAGCTCAAATCAAATGGCTTTGTAGAGAGAGAGAGAGAGAGTAGTGTGGTCACAGACGCACAGCTCACGCCACAATACTGAGGCTGACCTTATCGTACTACGGGTCTGTTTGGATGGAGTCCTGACATGCAGCTCCTTCGCCAGGCAGCAATCCTGGCCTTATATTAGGCCTCCAAAATCCAACGTCAGAGAATGGTGCCTGAGTTAGGCTACTTTTTGTGCAAGCCAACCAAACAAACCCAATGTGCATCTGTCCCGCGTATGGGGTTGTTCGCCTCTCACGGTCTCTCTCACACTACTCATGCGTTTTCCATTTCTTTTGCATCTACCTTATCACCACACAATCTCAAGCCTATAGCATTACAGTTAAGGAGCACCCGAACACAAGGAGCAGTCACAAATTATTGCCTGATTTACATGAAAAATTGAAGAGTATATATGTACATAATTGTATCAATCTTGGAGAGGCCATGCCCCAACCCCTCGTCCCACTAGCCCTGTCACTACCCAAGCTACCATGTTTGTGCTAAATATGCATGTCTAGTGTTTTATAATATAAGGACTATGTAAATTCGAAGTAAACATCATTAAAATTACCTCACCATCCATGCTCTCGCATTCACCTCGAGAAAGACTCCTATTAGCTTGTTTCAAAACATGTCCAAAATTGATGGATTTCTACTTGCTCAACATCTGTACCATAAACACCTTCTTTCCTTTGAAATTGTACATTTTTTGATTCTGAACTAATTGTATCCTTTTTGTTCCCATGGGGCTTTCTTGCCTAGTGATTAAGGATTTTCACACTCCTTGTGTCTATAAAAGATTTTCTCGTAAAACACTTAGTGGAGTGCCAGAGGGCGAGCGAAGTGACGTTTTAATTTCTCTTCCTCCGGTCAAAAAACAAGATTTATAGGGTTCAAGCACTATTAGTATGTTAGAAAAGACTTATTTTACAGAGTAGAGGGGCTATCTAAATCCTAAAGTAAAGACCAACGATCAAAGTAGAAGTACCAACGGCCTTGGCATCCCCTTCCCCTCTCAATCTCGGTATGTTGTGTCTAACTCTATCGCCAC